CCCGTGGCGGCTTTGCAGCGCTGAAGTGCCTGCTCCCCGGGACGGGATGACTCAAGGGTGATGCCGCCAGCAGCGCAGGATGTCTCTGCAGTCCTCCCCTTCCTCAAGAAAAAAAAATAAATCCTGTATTAATAGCCATGCATTCATACTGTACACACCGTGGCACAACCATCTCTCTCTGGAGCTAGAACAGGCAGGGCTGCCAGGGGGTTTCAACGCTTCCAAAATAAACAAAATGCTCTCGGGGACCTGCGGAGGTGTTGATTCTTGTGATGCATAGCCCGAATGCTCTCTGTCTCTCTGAGTATCTCCCTGAGGCCACCTCTCTCTGAGCAGCTCTCCTCAGCACCCAAGCGTGTCCTGACGTTGGAGAGAAATAAGTTAGTGATGGGATGACTCTTATTTACCTTTGTCTTTATTTATTGTCTTTATTTACCTTTGAAATAGAAAGTAAATATAACAGCAAGGTATATATAACAGTAAGATGTATATATAATAGTAAGATCTATATTTAATAGTAAGATCTGTATGATAGTAAGATATATGTATGTCTCTGACTGCATCCTTTCTTCCTCTGTTCCTTGTTGCCAACCTCCCTTAGCTGTCTGGGGATAACACTTTCTCTTCATCTGTTTGTGCAGAGTTAAGCACAATGGAGCTCTTGAATGATGCTAGGATACAACTGTAATCAAATCCTCTTTTCTCTGTTCCTGAAACAATGACAATGCTACCAAAAAAAAAAGAAAAACATAAAAAAAAGATGGGTATATCCATAGCGTGGGGGGTGTTTGGGAGCAGAACTTTGCCTTCAAAGCACCTGCAGGGCCAGCAAACAAAGGATCTGTAAAGCTGTTGTTTAGTTGTGATGACAACCAGAAATAAGAGAGCTCATTCCTTACTTTTCGAGCACTGATCTTGTCACTCCACCCATAAAACTGTGGTGGATCAAGTCAGCCTGAAGATCTCCCTCAGCCATGCCTTCCTTAATGTTAATGTCTGAAGCCCAAGAGCTGCCACCATCACTGGAGAAGGACACATCTCCAGCCAAAAGGACCTTGAAATGAATGGCCACGTCCTGTAGCATGTAAGTACAGGGGATTTTTGCATTATTTTAACTATTTAAAGAGCAGTTTTGCTCTTTCTTCCTACACGCCCATGTTTACGGAACTGGAAACCAAATTAGGCATGTATAGAAGAGGACAGAAATTTTCAGAAAAAACAGCTCCATAAAAAAGAATAAAAGAGGTTTCTTCACTGGGAGGTTAAATATTGAAGTGTCTCCTGTTTCTCAGTCACCTCAAGCTTTAATAACAAGTCCTGAAGCCCAAATTATGGCAGGGTGTGCAAGTGAATGATTTGCTATTTACCTCTTCTCCTAAAAAAACAAAAATCTATAGCAAAACCCCACAAACCTCACAAACTGCAGCAACATTCAACCTTCAGGAAGGACATAAATACTCTTCCTACGTAGCCCTAAAGAGCCCCATGAAGCAAACACAACCCAGTGTCCTCATAGATAAAACACTTGCCTTGCATGGCTTGTTCTGCATTACACTGCAGAGCACCAGGAGGGTGTTCCTTGCGACTGTGCCCATCAAATTCCTTGCTTTCACTCCCTTTGGCACCTCCGTGCAAGGAATGAGCCTGGCACGTCCTGGCCATCTGCAGAAGCTAAATCATGCACTGGATATTCTTGTCAGCAGGCTCTCAGTCTGCCCAACAGACGAGTACTCTGCCTGGTGAGGCTGGTAGCAAGTCCCGTGGCTGGCTCAAGAGCCACCCGTAAATTTGTAAATTGAGTGAACACTTCAATAACACAGCCTGGACTCTGCTGCACAAACAACGTGGTGTGGTCAGGAAGCTGCTCCCAAACTCGGCTCCCAAACCCTTCTCAGACTCACTCTAAAGCTTTTCATTCGCTTCCTTGTGTTCAGAGCTGTTTCTGTCCCCCACTCTGAAGTCTCAAAGCAGGAGCTGACCTGTCTGATCCCAGCTGGGGGCTGAGCCAACATGGATTATCACCAGTGGAGAGCCACGAAATCATGGCTGGGGCATGTAGAGGTCATGGATGTTTCCTCAGCTGAAATTGCTCTCTGTCTCTCTCTCCTTCGTAGCAGTGTATCTGCGACCTGACTTTCCAGCTCAGAGAGCCGGCTGCGCTCTGAGACTTACGGGTATTTCCACATCGCATTCCGGGGTCACCCGAAGGCTGCCCTCTGGATCAGACTCGCTCTATATTCAGACGGCGAAGCTACAAGTGCAGCCCCAGGCATGGCCCAGGGGACTTTCTGTCTAAGTCTGTCTGGCAGTTTAATATTCCGCCAGGCACCTTAGCGCACCCGAACGGGCAGGCTGCAGACTGCCTGCGGGGCAGGGCTGCGATCAGAAGCTGTGGCTCGCACCCGGCTCCTGCTCCCAGCCCCTCTTACTGTGCTGAAATGTAGACGTGGCCTGGGGGGTTGTTCAAGAGCTACACCGTGCTTGTCTCCAGCGTGGGATCCTCTCGAGCTGGAGGCTGAACGTGCCGTATCTCCTAAGCCTGTGAATCACACGCATATACATAATAAAGGCCAGTCAAAAATCTTTATTAAATAAACTATTAAGTACTTAAAGTTGCAAGCCAAATGGGACCGATGTTCATTTAATGTAGCCAGGAATGTTTAATATTCCCCTGTCTCCATGACTCATAGCACTGAAAGCCCAGTAAAAGCTCAGAAAGGCTCTGTGCCTGCTGCAGAGCAGCACACAAGCTTCCTTTAAACACCGATGTATACAAGACGTGTATTAACCAGATTAAAAATATAATGTCCGTAAGAATGCAGTATCTGGTCTCACACACACTTCCTCTCATACAGAGCTGTTGGTCGAAGATACAAGTTTCTCTCAGTGCTTCTACAATGTTCGCATCAGCATACCCATGACAGAAAGCACTACACCAACTACAAATAGCATAATTTTTGCATGTGAACACAACATAAAATGCATGTATTTGAAGATATTTGGGTGTCTAAAGGTGCAGTAGTCATTCCGTGGGAATTTCAAGTTTATCTGGGCACCTGATTTCTCTGATTTCAACTAAATTATTTTAAAACCCAGCATCTCTAAGTATTTGCTTAAACTTTCTCCAGACAGCACAACCACAACTCCAACGTTATAGCAATTACCACTGCTCCCAAATGCACACGGTTCATTAAAGAAGTTTGACATCCTACACTGCAAGTGTGTGAAAACCTGCCTGACATTTATCCCTTAAAACCCAGGTCTTAAAACAACAAAATGGACAGGCAAGAACGTTGCAAACCTTACCACGTCCACATTGTACAAAACACGTATTTTTGTTATCTTGGATGAAGAACACACCAAATGACAAGAGGCAGCCATCATTCTGACCCAGTGATATTTCCAGGATTGTTCTTTTCAACTCCAGGGCGTAGACATTTTAAGAAATACTGGTAAGTGGAAAATATCAGTTAATACGTGTATTAGTAAGACATTTATCATTCTTTACGCTTACATTTTGATAGAGCATTCATAAATACTAATTCTGAGTCAGCTTTGACCTAGCAGTGCCCACTGAACAGATGGAGGTCCTCCTCAGCTGAACCTGCTCGCAAGGCCCATCAGTCATCCTAAACTTGAATTTATTTCTGCCCTTGTCAACCTGCTATCTCATTATCTCACTATTCACTGACAAAAGAAATGATGGATCACGAGCACTGGGGTACAGGGAACCAAAGGCACTACATAAAACGAACCTCATTATGTCAGCCGTGCGCGGCGCGACGGACCCTCCGGTGGGACCTCTAGGGGTTACTGTAACACAAGCGAAGGATGGTTGCCTTGTGCTCAAAATAATGATGGATATGTACTTCAAGAAGAAAATTCAAAACAGGACCGGTGCACCGTCAAACCAAGGCTACAGGTGGATTTGCATGAGGGAGTTCTCACGGCGTGACGCTGCAGGTAAGGGAGCTTTCATCTCTCACAGAGGTTTCGTTGTGCATTTGGTTTGATTGCTAGGCAATGCCACCTAGGGAATACACAAAGTTGGTCTAATTTTCTACTTAAAAACTAAAATATTACAGAATCAACTGAAAAATTTTGCACCCAAACCATTGATGGGATGAGGCTGTATCTCCCAAGTGGACTTGAAGATATTCATGCTCAACCCAAACTTATTTTAATGGCTGTAAACTAAACACGGGTAGGTTTAGATTAGATATAAGATAGAAATTCATTACTGTGAGGGTGGTGAGGCACTGGAACAGGCTGCCTGGAGAAGCTGTGGATGCCCCATCCCTGGAGGTGCTCAACACCAGGCTGGATGGGGCTTTGGGCAGCCTGGTCTGAGCATGGCAGGGGGATGGACTGGATAGCCTTCAAGGTCCCTTCCAACCCAAACCATTCTGTGATTCTATGATTTGTGGCACTGACACCACAAACAGCAGCTGTGAGGCTACCTGTTGGGTCCTCTGGTGGCCCAGATCAGCCTCCAGTGTCCACAGGACTTGAAAATCAAGGTGATCTTCTGCATTGGGTACCATCGTATTTTTAGACGTGATCGTTTCATTTTATAGTCACTCTGTGGAGGCTTTTTCCATGTTCTTTCCAGCGGGGCTATTTTTATTTTTTATCATACACAGATGTCCTTGAGGTATGCTTAACAGCATAAACTGTGAAAGCCGTGTGCCAAGGCAGGGTTTTCTGGTAAGGCGATACAGCCCTGATGTGCCCGCAACACGCCGACCCATACAACTGCGTGCCCCGTGTGTGTGGGAGCACGGTGGCAGGGCTGAAGGCAGGACAATGCTTCCCAGGGCTAAAATTAGCTCCCGAAAATAACAGCAACGTGACAGCTCGCTTTGCCCCTGCAGAATTGGTAATGCAGGGTTTTCCAGAAAACTCAGCCAAATGAAGTTTTCGAGAAGAAAAAAAAACAACACGCAAGCTGGTGGGATGTCAATTAAATGAGACACAAGTGCTGCGAGGGGATTTATACAAACAGCTTTCGTTACCCCGAACAGCACACGCTGGCTTGTCAATCTTCCCGAGCTGCAAATATTTCTGCAGGTTACAGATTGGGACAGAAAGCTCCCGTCTCGTGGATGCCGCTGGCTTCTGCTGGGGATTTCTGACTCTCACCTATTTTTACAGAGAGAACTACCTGGCCAGGTTCAGAGTGCAGATCAAAGGTTTCTGCTGAGTAATCCTCGCGCTGAAGAAATATCCTTGAAGTTGAATATCCATCTGTTTTAATGCAGATTTTTTTTTTTCCCATACACATTAAGAACTAACTAAAAAAATAATCATATCAACCAAAGTGGTGTAAAAGCTTAATTAAGCCCCTGGATATGTATGGAGAATGACTTTGAGGGAGACGTAATATTACCTTCTAGAATTGATTAGTCATCTTGTTAATCACTTTTTAATATGCTCCAAGTACTTTTTAGGGAAGTGCATCTAAGGATGCCCAGTGCAAGCTGGCAAGCAGACTACACATGAATTACAAATGGTTTTAGAGCTCTGCACCAGCCCATTTTTCACGATACAGAGCATCTCCTGCAAAGTGCAGACTGTCCTCTGCTGCCAGTAAATTTCACATGGGGCAAAGCCTTTATCTGACCATTACAAAGCCAAGGAAAAAGTGAGAAAACAGAGAATATTTTTTATCAACTCCATTTTTTTGATTTTCATCCACAGCTATACAGATAGGCACAATGAAACTCTGAAGAAGCAAAAAGTGAAACACAAACACAAAAAAAGGAAAAAATAATTGACATGATTAAGCCTAGGGAAGCAAATGAATTTAAGCTCAAATGCTGGTATTACTGGGTGAGTCAGACTAATTATCAGCCCAGCCCTAAAATCTATGACCCTAGGAATGGTCTGAAGCCTCTAGGACTGACCTACCTGAGGAAGAGCATGACCAGAGAATGCAAACAGTGCTTCCAAAATACACGACAGAACTATCAATGAATGCACTTATATGCTACAAGTGATTATTGCAATCTCTTCATCTGACTTCCTACTTTAATGCAAGCTGCAGGATTTTCACTAAATAATTCCTGTTTGAACTAGTGCTGATTTAAAGATGTCTCAGGGCGATGAATTGACTGCAATTATTGACCGGCGTTCAATAACAGATCAGTATTTCCAGCTCAAATGAATGCCTTATTTTAAAGTGAACTCGTAAAATTTCACTTTCCAGACATGATACCCTAATGTATCTTCATGAACTAATGAAGCAATTTAGTTGTCCTGTTTCTTGTTCCCCATGCTCCCCAAGCCATCCCTTAACATTTTCTGAACAAACCGAGCATTTTTGGTTCAGGCAGGTTTCCCAACCACTACCATCCTCGTGTCTCTTTCCTGAATTGTGGATTACAAAGCTGAGCACGCTATTTTTGAAACAGTCATAGGAGTGTGAGGCCTCTGAACCTCCCCCTTTTCCCCAGTGCTCCCGTTTGTATATTCATGGCTTGTAGCCAGCTTTTGGGCAAAAGAGCTTGCATTCAGTCAAGAATCAGCCACCACTCCCCAGGATTTTTTCACTGTTGTTGCTTCCTTGTCACAAGTCCTCTTATCTGTAAGCACAGGCTTCGTTCTTTGTAATGTCCTGCGTGGAAGAACAAAGGGGTTTATAGAAATCTAAATATAGGATTTGCTTGTGACCTTTTTATGTAGTGATCCCTATTACTCCGCATCAATGACCTACTGGATGAGACCCCTTATTTAAGAACTATTTCTTTTATCATTTGCAGTCTTTTTTACATCATTTTCCACTGATAACAACATCACTTACAGTAGGGATAACACCAGTCCATCTTAACACCAACAGAAACAAAATCCCCATCCCTGGAGATCTTCAAGAAACATGCAGATGTAGAGCTTAGGAGCATGGTTTGGTGGTGGACTTTAGTACTAGGTTAGAGGTTGGACTGGATGATCTTAGATTTCTGTTCCAACCGGAATTATTCTATGATTCTGTAGTAACATAATACATTTCGGAACCCCAATACTGACTAAAAACAAGGAATAAGGATTTGTTTAAAAACATTTTGAAAACTAAGGACAAAATTGCATTTTGATCTGATGCTTTTAACATCTAAGATCTTCACGCTCAAGAATATTCACACACGTACACCCCTACTGCAGACGGCTTACTCAAGTAAATCCAAGAGCAGGAGAACAATTTGTAAAAAATAAACACTAGTCGACCTTGAATATTTAAATGCCGATCCCATATTTAAGTTAATACAATATTCTGTTGTATGTGACAGACCGTAATTTCAAAATCTTTGTTATGTTAATATAATTTTGTTCTAAGTTGACTCCCCTGCTCTTCAGCAAGCAGCAAGATTGTGCAGGAGCTGTGACCTCTCAGAGTAAAAGGGCCCTAAGTACCCTCCTCATATGCAGAGGCAGCCATGGAGTCCATCCTTAGCTCAGCCAAAAGAAGCATTTCTAAATTAGAAAGCTCTGCTTTGTAAGGAGCAGTAAAAGGATGGTTCAGCAAAACAGCGTTCCTTGACTTTTAAATCCAAAAGCCATGAATCTTCTGTGGGGAGGGGAAAAAAAAAAAGACAGTGCAGCTTTGCCACAAAGTTTTAATTTGTAACCCAAATACAAGTTAGAAGATTTTTGAAACGTTGTGATTTTATTTGCATCAGCCTGCCCCAAGCCCATTTTCTGCTTTTGATGGCTTTCACTTCTGGGACTGCTCCACCACGGGTCACTTTCGGGAAGGAGAACCAGTGGGGTTTATTTTGAAAGTATTTCTCAGCAAACCTGCTGACAACTGACCCCACTAACAGCTCCCAGGCTGTAAGATCAGGGTAAGGTGGTAGTCTTTAAATACTTCACCTTGGTAGGACTTGTCATCTCTAAGTTATTACCATTCCTTGATCAGGAACAAATGCAGCTCTGATGAATCCTGCTCAGCGACAGGTTTATGCAAGGCATGTTCAGAAGTTACCTCGGCTAGTGACATTGATTTATGTTCTGATAAGAAGTTAATTATAAAGGCTTGAAATTTGCAATCACTCAGCAGAAGGGCAGTGATTTGTCCTCTAAACAAAGCAATGCACACTGTATTAATAACCATATCAGTAACAATAATTCTGTCCCAGACTACAGACAGCTTGTGTACCTGTTCAAGGTAAAGTTCTCTCATTGTGAATCATAATCTTGGCCTAGAAATTGTTGTGCACCTAACCACTAAACAACCAAAAATGTGCTTTAGTCCAGAGATTCAAGTAGGAGATTTTTTTTTCTTCTTTTGGGTGTTGAGGGGGGAAATTGTCAAAAAAATTACTCTGAGATCAGTGATATAGGCAAATAAGAGCACCACTAGCTAGTGCCAGCCGCAGCAGCATTAAATACACAAACCATGTTAAAAAGAGAAAATAATTCCTGTGCATATCACAACAGAGAGACTGAGAATGCCCTATGGGAAGGTCCCTAACTGTACTCTGGAAGTTTTACAGGTCAGAAATGTGAAAAGGAAACACAAATTGATATCCCAGACTCCAGTGACAACAGAACAGACTGTCACTTCTCTCTGATTTGACATTCACCCTGATATTACCCCAAATCAGGCCTCAGATTCTGTAGGAAGAGCTAAAGACAAGCGAATTAAAGATGAAACATGGTGCCGCATACTGTCAGAGACTCCCCTGCTTTGTTTTGCTGTGAATTCAAGCAGGTCAGTTCTGCACCAAAGTCAAAAGAGCCTGACGTGACCAAGGTGCACGAGTTTTGGAATGAAAAGAGTAGAAAGCCTCCTGTTTATAAATCCCAGCCCAGTGATCAGTGACTCTTATTCTAAACTTTGTTCTTACTCAGCTATCTAATTCAATATTACAGCTTCGTGATGTTTTTTTGTTGTTGTTGCCCCAAGCCTTGCAAAGCTTACATGGTTTTTAATTTCTTAACACAAAATACACATGAAACTGGTTGCCCTTCTTTTAGAGTAAGTCCATAACGAACCCAACCTCTTCCTCCTGTGTTAAGCTCCTGTTTGTCCAAAATGAGAAGACAAACTCTTTGCATTTGCTGTAATAATCAAAAATACATTAATACACATCTGTAAATAAAAACACATATACATACTTCATGTCCTTACTTTCCATGATAAAGTTAAAAGAAGAGGTTAAAAGTGGGCGTTTCTCTTAGGTTTTTGTTTCTCCTTCCTAAAATGTAAATTCTTTTTCCTCTTCATATAATCCTTTATAATACTTAAAGGCCTTCTACTCCTACACTGAAAGGCACTGCAGATATTAACCTTATTTTGCAAATGCACACTTCTGTGAGGTCTCCTGGTGCTGTTATAACCATTTTATGAATGAGGAAACACAGCCAGGTGATTTACTTGAGGGGAAAGAGCGGTGAGGTCAGGGACACAAGCCAAGAGTCCACTCAGTCCCAGAGCGCTGCTTGAGACACCCTCTTGTTTTTCCAGTCTCTTTTTCCCCCCACTTTACTTCATTTTTGGCTAGTTACAAAGAAGCTACAGAACTGAGACACAGATAAGAACTTCTTGGAAACACAGGGCTGTTGAGGTTTTAAGAGCGAGGTTTGGTCTGCTGTAAGAAGCCCAGTCTGGAATTCAGGTTAACACTTCGGATGGGATAAAACACTTCATGGCACATGTTTCTCCCTCTGGGGGCACAACTAGAAAACAAGCAGCAGTCCCATTGTTTAAGATACTGCTCTAATGGGTTTAGAAGCTATAGGATGAGTAATCCTTACAACTGTGTTAAAACTTGTGTATAACTGAACAAACAAGGGGCCACAAGGATCATCAGAGGGTTGGAGCACCTCTACTGTGAAGAGGGGCTGAGAAAGTTGGGGTTGTTCAGTATGGAGAGGAATAGGCTCCAGGGAGACCTTACAGTGGCCTTCCAGTACCTAAAGGGGGCTACAGGAGAGCTGGGGAGGGACTCCTTGTCAGGGGGTGTAGTGACAGGACAGGGAGGAATGCCTTTAAACTAAAAAAAGTGTAGATTTAGACTAGATATACGGAAGAAATTCTTTACCGTGAGGGTAGTGAGGCACTGGAACAGGCTGCCCAGACAAGCTGTGGATGCCCCATCCCTGGAGGTGTTCAAGGCCAGGCTGGATGGGGCTTTGGGCAGCCTGATGTAGTGGAGGTGTCCCTGCCCATGGCAGGGGGTTGGAACTGGATGGGCTTTAAGGTCCCTTCCTAACCCAAACCATTCTGTGATTCTATGAAGTGCACAATTCCAAAGATAAAATAATTCAATGAAACACGAATGGAAAATTTTATCTAAACACACAATAAACTAGTTTTGTTTGTTTTCTAAGAGTCTACTATAACTTCAGCATGTTAAAGAAAAACAAGAGTGCTCCTGGGTATGGTAGGAGCCCAGGGCAGCAGGAGGGCCCAGTGGAAGGGCACACTGATGATATTAATTCATTCATTCACTCACTCGTTCATTCATTGTGCTTCCAGACTCTGTGTGGTTCCTCTCGACCAGCAGGCTCCTTGACATCAAATCCAGAGAACACCTCACATCTGCCTGGCTTTCATCAGCCAACACCCTCTTGGGCTGTGCTGTACATCAGTTTCTCAGGGGAAAAAGAAGAGCTGAGATAACTACTGCCCTCGTACCTCCACTTTTTTCAACACAGCTACTTGTCCACAAAATGTGCAGAGGTGTCTGAAACCTAAAATAAATGTGGGAAGCACTGAAGACCAGTAGCTCTTCTTATCTCTCTGCTCTCTATCAACACAGTGGGCTAACCATGTCCGTTACTCCCTAATACAACTGTCATCATTTACATGCTTTGTAGCCTACAAATGGGCCAGTCACAGCGACTGACTGAATAACAGAAAGATTACAGGTTGTATGACTCCATTACCATACGGAGGAATTTTGCAGCCAATGTTTCTTCCTACACTACTGCAAGGAAAAATCTCAATCCAACATTTCATTGTATTTTTTTTCTCAGCTCTCTGGCACCCAGGTTTCCAGCCACAAACTCTCTAAAGTCCAGCCTGCTTTATTTGATATTGTTTTCCCAAATACTTTAGGAACTTTTGCACCTGAAGAGGAGCTCTGAATGTGCTACAACAGCAAGTCTTACAAAAACACTTCAGAAATGGCTCTGCAGTTTCAGCTAATCGATGTATGGCAAGCTTTAGTTCCCTTATTGAAAAAAAAAATGAATCGTTACCATCACGTCCCCAGTTACTCTTTACAGCAAGGAAGGACTGGGCTCTTTATCTATTTACAGTGCTTATACAACCACTGAATTCAGGATTGGTTAGAGAAAGACAGAAAACCTAATAAAAACAGAAGTACTTCTTGATTTTCTACCTTTTATGCCAATTCAAATAGTGTGTTCTCAAAAGTTAAAATCTTTTTAAGTCTGGGGAGAAAGGAACAACTCTTCCAGAGTTGGTACAGCCTGGTAGAAAACATAATAGATAAGACCTTTAAATAAACTTATATCCCCAGCTTTATCAGAGGCTTGCTGAGTTCTTTGGACAGATCTTTTCCCTCCTGAATTTCCCTGTCTTTTACAGAGGAGTAAACAATGCTTTTCCATTTCCAAGGGGATTTATGAATGAAGGGTGTAGTGTTTTGATCA